AATTACGCCTCGAGTAGCACAGATGGGGGGCAGAAGTCGATTGTAATACGTGTACTAGACAGATAGACGAATTATACGGGGCACGAGGGAGACTCTGATGGGAGCCAGGGAAAGAGGACTACGTAACAATATGGCAGACTCTGGTCAACATTCCCAGCACAAGGGTGAAGGGGGTGAGAACGGCAGTGTTGTCTGAAGGGTTTTCATGAATGCCGCTTAAAGGAGCACACCACACTACATCTAAATAGGCACGGTAAAAAATCGTGACAGTGAAGATGTGATAGGAGGATATAGGAAATGTGAATAGCCCAGGGCAGAATAGGGGAAACCACAACTGTTTAGCACACGTTTGGTCAAAGGATAGGCTTATTTGTCTCTTTGACGAGTTGTTGTATGGTGCTAAGAATGGCATGACTCACTGAAGATGCCGGCGAAACGTTTGGGAATGTACCACGTTCAGGGTCAGACATTGGAAAGTATTATGCATACAATGGACTCCGAACTAGTTGCGTTCCTCTAAGTCTTCCTACATATATGACCAAGTTGCGAAAACAAGGTCAAACAACCTCTAAACTAATATTAAGTTATTCAAAAAACTCAGGTATATTATATTTAGTGGTGTATTAAATGCCTGAAAATCGAAAGTGAAAACGATCTCTTTTGTAATTTACTTTAGGGTCCAAAAAAAATTAACTGTCTTCTTTAAAACATAAAGTTCCATGTTCAGCTTAACCTAGATAGTTTTCATAGCTTTTATGCCCTGCAAGTTTCATCTTTCAAATAAAAAATGTGCAAAATGCGACGATTTTTTGAACCTAATCTCACCTTAAGTGAAAGCATATGATAAATAGATTTCCATCAGACGACAGATTTCTCTTCTTCGGCTGTTGGTTGGCTCAAACGAAACATTTTCGCTGACGTCCTCGAGGCGACCTCCTTCGATTCCGGTCGAAACGTGACAGGCTTTAGTCCGTCATATGGCGGACACATTCAGTGGAATCGAAGAATATTACCTCGGGGACGACGCCAGGGAGAATGTTCCAGCAAAGACAACCGTCAGCTGGCCAAGAGGAATCCGCCAAGGTATTCTGATGGGATCGAACTTCGAATCACTGTCACACATTTTTGCACGAACTGGAAGAAAGTTCAAAGATCATAAACAAAGTTATTCATCGAAGCCCAACTTTTCTCAGCATATATTTGAACTGGTTTGACCTCGTTTTCGCAACTTAGTAGTATTGTTAGGATGAGCACCTCTTCTGGAGTCCACCACCTTAGTAGTCATGATAATTTTCAGCGACATTCAGTGAACTTGGTACATTTCCAGACGTTTCGTGGACATCGTCAGTGATCACTGCCAGTCCTAGCAACAAACTAAAACTCTTGAACTTTCTTTTGCGAGAAGCAGTATGAGAATACTTATATGGCTGGTGTTTGTATGTCATTTTAAGAATACAACTACGCAAACAGTGAGGCAAAATCAAGATCGTAGCAAAGTGGCATAAGCCAAATCAAAAGGTAGCCTGTATAGGTTAATACCTTTATGGCGAAATTAATACATCTAGATGCCACAGAAAACTGTTTCCATTAAGCTCAGTGAAGCAAAAAAACTTCCTAAATGCTCGTATAGATAATAAAAACTAATTTATAACTTCAGCAACTACGGTCTCCGAAAATATATGCTAAATTTTGTACAAGTTTGGGATAGTAATATAGGCATATCAGTAAAATCCCGTATTATAAGGACCCTATACAGAGACCGATTGTAGTGAAGATACTTTTGAGTCTTTTCCTGTTGGACCGATAGTAATTTTGCCCACGATACAATGAAAAGGAAGCTTGATCTTTTCCATGTATTTCTCTCTACCAATCAACCCAGAAGGACGTTTTCATGCATAAAAGACTGCTATTTCTATCTCATTATTTCTTCCTAACATTCCCAGCCGTAATTTAAGAGAAGACAACAAATAAAGAGGCAAAATAATTTTCCCTGTGTCCAAACATGTCTAATTGCTGCCGTTTTTACTCATGCAGAAGTCTCACCAAAAACCATAACCCGAGCCAGTTTGGGGGGATTTATTTGATGGTATTTCTGAGTTTGGCTGGTAAATAGACAACTAAATACAATATTCTACTTATGAGCTTGAAATGTAACAATGTCTAGATTTCCTTCAAGTTCCTAGTTTCAGAGGTGTATACTAAGATTGCCAAATCAATCTTCAGATATTAAGGGGCTGCAGTCATATCGGATGCTTAAGAAAAGCATGAAATTGAGTGTTAACTAGGGATGAAGCTTTCAATACATAGACGTAGAGGATGATGACTACAACTAAAAAATATGAATAATGCACAATCATTTGACTGTGTATGTGAGTGTAGGAACTAACGCACCATGGACATCGTGATTATGGAAATTATGTCCCCAAAAACAGCCGTAAAGAGAATAAGTGATCCTCGTGAGGACAAAATAGAAGTCATCAAGTATGCAAAAGTTTCGCATATTCTGCTTAACTCCATCGCATGTAAGAAAGGCTGGAGGGAAAGAGGGTAATGCAAATAAATACAACTAATAACTAAATTATATTCTATACTTAACTTTTCTTACCACTTGCTCCTTTTTGCCCATAAACAGATAAAGTGACAACTTTTTTAACGCAGATGACCTCTCCAAGTATCGGAATGCCAAAAAATCTAAGTTATTATAAATCGCCTCAGAACTCAGAACTTATACGCCAGAAGGGTACAGGCGGCTCGAGCTCGAAGCCTACGGAGTCAGTAGACAGACGATCGGGCAGTATTACAACAGGTAAAGGCAAGATGGCAACGGGTGGCAAGGTGAATTGGGACCCTGACGTCGATTCCGCCAATAACAGGAATGAAAGGCCCGAGGAGGCAGGGCACCGAGAAGGACCCAGTTTATTAGAAGTTTGGAAGCAGGGCAAGGCGGATAGCCGGGAAAAATATCTCGGTGATCCGATGGGACAGGCCTCGATGGCCGATCAAGCTAATCAGCTCTCTAGTGGCGACATTATTGTGCTCATATTCGTCCTGGTGTGCCTGGTCGGTCTGCCACTAGGACTCATAATGTGCTGTCTGAGCTCAAGGCGCCGTCGATTTAATCGGCGGAGAGGCAAATATTTCCACCATCGCCAGCGGCAATCTCAACAGGACTTACGGAGGCAGCAGTGCAGATTCGGTACAAGGACAGACCGAGAGGGGGCGACAGTGAGGTTAACGGAAGAGGAAGAAGGAAGAGAGAGTGGAACAGAAAGTGGTTCCAGGAGACACACGGATGCTGAGGCATTAGCAAACGACTCAGTAGTTATGCGTCCCAATTCCAGCAAAGGAGCCATCAATCCTCTCATTAGCACTAACATTTACATTGCTATGACGCCAAATTCGGATGCAGACCCCCCCAGCGATACAGTCAACAGCCTTCTCAGGAGCCCGCCTGCACACTCCGCGACGGTTGCCCCCAGCCTCACCGAGAAGTATAACAGTCTCCGCCTTGCTGTGGCGGTCAGTGATTCGGCAAAGCGACGCCTCAGGTCACTACGGCAGACAGCCAGTCGCTCGTGTTGCTCGTGGCACGAGGAGGTGAGCAAACGGGACATCAGTATCAGTCTGAACAGTAGCAATAAAATGAGCATCAGTCGGCGCATCTGCAAGGGAAAACGTGCAGACCGAGGGATAGAAGAGAAGATGATGGCTGTGGCGAAACCATCGAGCCGACTCGGCTGCGTGTCTCGAGGAGACGAGGTGGCTAAAAGTCACGATGGTGCAGAGCCGAGGGAAGAGGACAGAACGGCTCAGGCTGAAAAGCTAAGGAACTCGTGGAAGATGGCAAGGCAAGAGTGCCAACAGGACACAGTCGCCCATTCGGTCCGTCGAGTCTGTAGCCTAAAAGTTGTCCAGTCCCGGCGGATGACATTTGGCGTACAAGACACTCAAAATGAAGCCGATACAGAGACAGGAGTCAGAGCCGAGGCAACAAAAGCACCAATACGTCGGCGTAGCGACTGTGAAATTGCAAGTTGTGCTGTTATACCGAGAAAGCGGGCGCTTAAAAGAAGCCCAAGTATGTCATCACCACAAACGCTGCAGAAGATAGTAGTTACAGCGTCGTCATTCGAACCCCTTAATAAGAAACCTATTAAATCACACTCCAACTCACAAGAGACCTTTGCTGTGGGACAAGAAGAGCAAGGCAGCCCGACCTGTGAAACGAGCTCAGATGCGAGCAAAACACCTGCGGATCCTAATAGTGGGAAAGAAAAAAGCAGCAGCCTAAGCAGTCAACCATGTTTCTCAGTCCGCCCGATTCTGATTCAGAGTTTCCATTCACTACATCGACGCTTCTCTCGAGCACCTAGCAGCAGGAGCGAAGACTATCGAAAAGAAATACGACTGTCTTTAGCCACTAACCCAACTGGTTTCACATTAGCCAACGAATTTGAAGGACTGGGTCAAAGTAAAAAAATCCAGGGGCCTACACACGAGACATGGCTGGATGTCAGATCTAATAGTAAATCAGAAATGAAGAAAAAACCTGATAATGAAGAAAACGATAAAGGTGGAGCAGAAACGAAGCTGGAGACTGAAGAGCCCTGTCTTAGAGCCAAACTGAAGCCGCGCCAGGCAAGATGGCGAGAAGCGTACAGACAAAGTCTCGCTATTGGCGTTGGTTACTCAGATTTGGGACTTCCACAACCAAGAAGGGCAACAGCAAATTATCGTATACATCGTTCGATAAGCATCTGGTCAGATGCCGAGCGCAGCCAGCTTACCAACCCAGGCCTGATGGGCAGCATGAGCGCTTGCGCCCTTACAACGAGAAATACTAGTGTCGCGACACGTGAAGGGGACACGACCATGCAAAGCCCTAGCCCGAGTCCGAGTTCACTCCTCCAGCTGCAGCAGATGACGGTCCCCTGTAAAACTAATACGCAAAGGGCAGAATCTGTCCCAGTGGAGAGAACAAACAGGCCAGTCACCGTGGTACCAGCAGGATCAGCGTCAACCAGACACTCAACAGCCATGAGGACGGCCCCGATTGCCATGATGGATACATGTGCAAGGTTTTCACCCTGGCCGATTATAGCCAAAAGAGTTACCAAATCAGAAGCGCAATCGGCCCTTCCCTTAGACCCTACTCCGCCAAAAATTAATTAATAGAAATGTGGCTTAGGGATGTATGCAGGTAGCATACAAATGGTGAATACTGGACATAATAAAAGAACCCATCTCCGTAAACAAAAAAACACCCACAACCTTATCTCATTCTATCGCAATCCCTTACAGTAATATTGCAAGCAAAGGACCTGGAATAACAGTAACATCCTCGAGAGTAAAATCAACAAGCAAGGCACGAAAGTGTAGGCTGCTGGCGTATAAGCCTAAAGCGGATCCAGGCAATCATTCGGACTCTTGAGGGAAAATACGTTACTCAGAGGTTGGGACGGGCTCACATTTCATTATTCAAGTCATGGGCATACGGTGGCGGTCATTGTTCTTTGATGATGCGCCCTATGCTCTGCATACAGGCATGCGATAAAGTCTTTCAGAATATAATCATGTATGCAGAAAAACAAGAAAACAATGATGCATTGCACACAATACTCGTGCATGTATACATACATTCATAAATACCATAATATAAAAATATATGCATATAGGCATATATGCATACAAATATGAATATATATTCGGTTTCATAATTATATAAGATTAGGTAAAATGTAGCTTAAATCGTTTCCTTATCATCACTAACACTATTTCCTCTGTTAAAGTTAAATTGCTTTCCGCAGAAGCCCATTCACAAACAAAGTTGAGAACAGCATCTGTCCAGGCATACATTTTAGCACTCGGGTCGCCAGGCCGCTAAAAAGGTTAGACAGTAAACTGTGCATTACAGAAGCCTCAGTTTCAGGTGGATGCGAAAGAAGACTGACAGGCCAAGTTGGCATGCTCAAGGAGTCGGGGAAGTGAATACGATTAAGTGGGAGAGCGGTACTTCCTATCTTTGGCGGCCTGCTTAATGCCAATGGCAACACAGAAAAATTTCATCGTCAATCCACACATAAAGCATCAGTTGGGAAAAGTGGGGCACCAATTCTATCAATGCAGACAACATTGTCGAATGTGGCAGATCTGAATACAAGCCGACAAGCATAAAAAGCAAAATAAGTAGGAAGAGTGAAAACAAGTGATTTGTAACACCTAAGCATCCTCCACCCTACATTCGGCATAGCAACAACCCAATTAGCGACTAGTTCAAGCTCAATCGCAAAGCGGTTCAGATGCGAAGAAACAGCATCTCAGCTTTTGTATATTTTTCTATTATTCAACCTTGAACCGACACGCTCTCAAATAAGCGTTTGATAGCTCACCCATTTTATGAATGCAATTCTACCAATCCTACTTTACCTGCTTTCGCAATTGCAACCGCTAGCGCCCTCCTCCACCCAACCTATACCCTTCATTTTTCTATCTATCAATGCACTATGTGTGTCATATTGTTCAAAGCAAAGCACTGGTTTCTATTTCATTTATGCAGATATATATGTTTACATGTATTTTGACTGCATCAATAGAGCATAAGGAGGAACTGCAGAGCTCCTGTCCTAAGAAGCAGAAAACCATGCATGCCGAAAAAGTAAGACTGGAGTTACTGTGTCTTATGGCTTTTTCCTACTTTCCATTGGGAAATAATCAAAAGGATATACAGGAAA